GCTTCCTCCGTCCGCCCCCCGTTCTGCCAGATCGCGCCGAGCGCGCAGCCTTCTCTCCGCCCCCGCGGCCCCGTGACTGACCGGAGGGGTCTTTTCCTTCCCGTGTGTCACTATCCGTTCGGATTCCAACTTGTTTGTGTCAGGCGGCTGGATTAAGGACTCCTTTTCCTGTGTCCAGTGGATGACTTCTCTATGCGTTCTGTCGTGTCATTCAAGGAAAGGAAGTAAAAGTTTCAGTTTTTTACTTTGCTTTTAGGTTTAGGCTTGACAGGGGACATTTTAACCGGCTGGTCATAGCCTGATAGGTACTGTATTTGAATTGTAAGACACCTTTGTTTCTGCTTAGTTGTTTGTTTAAAAACTGTTTTGATAGGCACTTCAAATCAAAAATTACTCCATCTATTATGATCGCACAAAGCAAAAGTAGACAGAGCTGCTAAGGTTTTTTGTTCGTTTACTAGCTTCTGCCATGTTGGGTGGTGTGCTGAGTTTCAGGATTGAGTAAGGTGTCGGATGGGACGTGAGGTGGGAAGCCAGGTCTGGGGCTCTGGGACTTGGGGTAGCTCTGGCTGGCTGACTAGTGTGTCACGCAGATGGCTTTGTCTCAGCGGTCACTGTGGGTGGTCTTGGTGGACCAGCAGGGAGTGAGTGTCACAGGACCCCCACTGCCTGGTGCCCTTTGCACTGGCGAAGGCAGAGTGTGGAGGAGATTGAGCCCACCCAGGACCTCCGCTGTGGAGCCCGTGTGGCCTGCGGCCGGGACTCGCGGAGAGGGGTGCCTCTTGGGCCTCCCCCCCCCTGTGGCCTGTCGGCTACCACATCGGCCTCCTTGCTGGTCTCTGAACGAAGTCACATGCTCTGAGCTCAGGTCTGCCCAGAACACACAGCTTTCTCACCCTGGTGCCCCCTGACTACCTACCAGGGACTCCAGCTCAGTCTCGGCTCCCTTCCCTGCCTCCCCCCGAGCCCTGAAGTCTAGGGTCCTAGTTCGGGTGTCTGTCGGTCTGCTCGTTTTGCGATGACGTAGGGTCCGTGGGGCTCTTCTGTGCAGAGAACAGTTGCTGGCAGTGGTGCATGTCCGGTCAGTGCTTGATGAGTGAGTGAAAGTGACGAGCCTCCTGACAGTTGGGTGACACAATGGCGTTGTCACTTGGAAGTTGTGGTGGGTGAGTGCTGAGCACTTAGGGATACTGGGTTCCCTAGGACGGCCGCACCCGGGGGCGCACTCTCGGGGTGCCGCTGCGGGACTGAGCTGGAGCCTGCTCTGTGGCTGAAGGAGTCGCGTCTCCAGGCTCCACCGCAGGCCGCGCTGGCACAGAGCCGGCGGGGTTCCCCGTGTGTCTGAGGGCGCTCTTTCTGTGTGTGGCGATGGGGTGGACGCTGCTGCTTTCTCAGCCGTTTTAGCCCTTGAGTTCCCCTTACGTGCAGAGGTGGGTGCCCCGTGCCCGGTCATGAGGGACAGCAGAGACCAGGGCCTTGTGTGCTCTCAGGGCCCCGGTACCGGCTCCGGCCTGGCTGCCCCACTGACACCGTATGGCGAAGCCACATCTAGCTGCCAGCCCAGACACTGGAGGTGCGTTATCCTGGCGGGTAGGGGGTGCTTGAGATGTTCGTTGACTGGGTGACTAAAATGCAGTGAGGCCATCGTCCAGGTAAGGCTTCCCAAGTCGGGGCACGAGGTGAGTGGGGCATGTGACGCCGTAAGCTCACCTGTCCTCTAGGAAGGGGACCCTAAGCTCTTGCTGGTGCCCTCGCGAGTCACTCGGTGCTGGGTGCTGTCCCTGTCGCAGGTAAAATGCAGGCCTCCTGGCATGAGGCTCTTTGGGACGTTCTGAGTGAGTGGTTAGGTCACGTACTTGGGGGCTGCACACACGCGGCCTGCTCTGTCACAGGCCTTGCCGCTGCGTGTCAGTGGAGTCCGAGCTGACAGCCCCACCAAAATGAGGGTCATGGTGCTTGCCCCGCCCGCCTGTTGGGGGAGGTGACCGAGGGAACGGTGTCACCTTGTCTGCCTCCTGAACATAGTAGCAGATGCTGACAGTCACAGTCCACCTCAGGAAAGTGCTACCTACTCTGAGCGAGGGAGTCACTGGCCCGACCTAGGGCCCACTCTTAGGTGGTGACAGCCCCTGAGGAGGATTAGCAGCCAGTTCCTTGTCTATGCCGGTGGTGACAGCCCCCGAGGATTAGCAGCCAGTCCCTTGTCTACGGTCACAGAGGTTTAGGGATGAGATTACCAAACAGCCTTCAGCTTAGATTTGTCTTCCGTGTCCCTTGCGTTTGATTTGCTCGAGTAGCATCAACGAGAGGGCACGTTCCGCCGCAGTTCTGGGTACTGGCAGGTGGTTAGTCGGTTTAAGTCTTCAGTAAATAAAAATTGTTTTACATTCTAAGAGTTTTGCAGACGTATCGGTAGCTGACCCCGAAGCTGCAGAAACGAGGTGCGGCTTCTCGCCCTCGGATGAGGGCGGTGGGGAGCGAGGTGGGCTGGGCGCCCGTGGAGGCGGCTCTGTTGGCGCTCGCCTTTCCAGGACGGATCTGTGTGTGTACACACGAATGGTTTTTAAAGCCAGTTCTGTGGCAGAAACCTTTACATTAAACCCAGCTGATATTTTTACAGTGTGATACATTGTGAGTTATCGTGACCATCCTTGAATGTACGAATGAATAAATCTTATCTGTCATCACGTGTTATTTGTAACTCTTCACGTCCTTTTAATTTTTTGCATTGAATGTGTATCACCAGCAAACATGGTGGTTCACAAGATAAAATGGACAGTCATTTGGTGTCTCCATTGCTGTGTGCTGAGGAATTCTGTGCCAATTGGTCATAAAGTTGCAGATCTGGGACTCAGAGGATTGGAATGCGGACTAGCCACCCCTGTCAGCTGGGCCCCGCCCTGGCAGGTTGGGGATGGCCAGCCCCTTTCTTAGAGAGCTCTCCCGCCCTGTGCCTCTGTTTCTTCCAGGGTGGAATGGGACTGTGTCATTGTGATGCCAGCAGACCCCAGGTCCCCTGTCTCATCTGAACCCTGCGTTGCTTCAGGGTCGGGGGCTGAGTTCAGGTGCCGGCCCGAGACCACGGCCCGGCGGACCACCCCAGCTGGACAGAGCTGCAGGCGCTGTGCAGGGGCCACCTACTCTGCAGGGGGCGTGTGCCACCACCTGGCCTTTCTGTGTTTACTTCTGTTATTGGAAGGGATTAGCAGCACAACAAATGCTTGTTTGAGTTTTAGCTGGGCAGGCCCATTTAATTTCCTTTACTAAATAGGAATGTCTATTGTGAGAGGGTTTCTCTAAGATAAATCATGGAAAATTCTGGGTCAAAGAGTACGAACTTTATCAATTTTGCCACGTATTACCCAAGTTTATAATCTGTCAGTGTGTGTCTTTTCTGTTCACCCATGTGGGATTTTAACTTTATATTTTAAGTTTTGGTGCTTGTTTAGCTACTGCTATAGAGTTTGATATTAAAGTCTGAGAATTTTTTTTCAGTTGTAGTAAATTTTGCTGGGTCCTTTAAAATCAATATTTAGTGAGAAATAAAATGTTTAGTTATAAATGGACTTTTTGAAATGTATGAAACCAGTCCCTATCTCTTTTTCAAGTTAACTAAAGCAGAGGTTGTGTTCCGGATAAAGATTTTTACTGGACTGTATTCATCTTATACTTTGAATCACATGCAAAGTTCAGGTTTTTTTTAATACAATCTAACAGTCCAGTTTTATTCTGAGATGAAACTAGAAAGTCTACAGTTTAAGGATGACAGTTATCTGTGAAGTATTTCTTAACTCGTCTGAGTAAAGTCACTCCCTGTGCGAAACAGTGCGGTTCTCGTAAGAGTCATTTAGTGGATGCCTTCCCTCCCCCATGGGAAACCTCCGAAATGCCCCAGCCTGTTTGTGAGCAGGCCAGTGTTACCCAGTGTGCACTGCCTTCATCCGCAGGGCGCCCTGCAAAGTAGCTGTTGCCCACCTTCATTGGTAAGGAAACCGACGTGTTTTCTCCAGTATGGAGTGGTGTTGGAGAACACGCACATGGCTAAGATGCCAGCGCAGGATTGTCAGCTCTTCAGGGGCCGTTTCTGTTGGTGCTGGTTCCCCTTGCCTCGTCCGGCCACATCGGGTAATCCTGACCGATGGGTGCCAGCAGCATCCTTCTCCCTGGTGTGTTTCATGTTCCCCTGCCTGTCCCTTTATAAAATTTACTGTGATGTGGGGGGGGTGTGTGTGTGTCGCCCGTCATTGGAGGGGTGTCTCCTGGCGGCCGTAGGCCACGTCTGGTTGCTCTGAACACTGTCTCCTCTCAGGCCCGTGGGTGGGGCCGCGGGCAGGGTGAAGGGCACGGGCGTACCCCTGGGGCATAGTCCTGAGGCTGCTCTGGTCTGGGAAATCGTAAACCTTCCTGAAGGCTGAGATTTGTCCCTTTTACTTGTGGCCTGTCTTAAACTGGTTGCAGTCCCAGTGTGCTGTGAAGCAGACCCATGTGCCGCTTCCTGGACTAGGCCAGGGGTCTTTACCCTGTCCTCGCTCCCAAATGACCATCGTGCTGGTGGGCGGCGCCCCCCGACCGTGCTGGTCCCAGATACAAAGTGCGTTTCAGTAAACAGTGGTTCAGCCAGCCTGACCTAATTAGATGCCAATCCCTTAAAGGGCTGGGACAGATCTCCCCTGAGAATGGAAGCACCTTTTACAAGATGTATGTAACAGTAACGAACATTCACGTTCAAGCTGAGTTAAATTACGAGCAGCTTAAGTCAGCGTGACGCACTTGGTCGTGTGTGTGTTTCCTCGTCCTTAGAAAGTACGCGAAGGTTTGGTGCAGCGCCTTATTCGGGTGAGACAGTGCACAGGAAAGGGAGCTGTGCGTGCCCAGGGCGGGCAGCGGCGCTGCTGTGAGCCGCTCTGAGAGCCACTCGGATGCTGCGGCCCTTGGGCATCAGGCTCAGGTGTGGCCCTGGCACTGTGGTCCCAGGTAGCCGCTCAGCACCACTGAGCCTCAGGCTCCTCGTCTGTAAACGGCAGATCTTAGGAACAGGAGCTGGTGTCGCTCGTGCACCTGGCACTGCTGGAAGCACTTGACACTGTCACGCCCCCTCCCAGACACACCAAGCGAGACGGTCCATCCCCACCGGATAGCGGGATGGCAGTGTGGAGGTGTCTGGGAGCTGCCCGCGCCTCTGAGCCCAGGAGCGGCAGAGCCAGGTTGCAGCCCACGCAGGTGACCCCAGAGCTGCCAGCCCACCTCCCACTCGACTGGGAGCCCGTGCGGCAGACTTCTTGGGAGTGTTCAGTGGGGTCCAGGG